CGGAATGGACATATGTCTATTCGAAATTGACATATGTCCATTCCGAACTGACATAAATTCCGATCTGACATACAACAATAATAATTACTCAAACACGTTTTAGCGACTTTGCGACGTATTGTTGTATCGATGAATTTCACATAATGACCGTACTGAATATCATGTATTGATATTTTATACACACGTTAATGATAACAAACATGTCGTGTAAGTTATATGAGCATTGGATTCTTGGTTGTAATAGCGAACAGAAAGTTCGAATTGTAATAAGCTCATTTCTTTTTGCTGAGACAAATGATTAACTTTTAATATGTGAGAACCATGGAATTGAGTATTACGGTTAACATATATGCATGCATCATTTTGATAATAAATAATAAAATACGTTGCGTTCATAGATTATCCAATTCCAATCTGACATATATGTCGATTCCAAATTGACATAAATTCCAATCTGACATGTGTCAATTCCAAATTGACATACTAATACAACAATTATCAGTTATAGTGTAATGCACATCATATGTCTGTCTGGTAGTTGTTGTTAAGATTATTCGATTTTTTTTATTACTATTGTTATTAGTTCAATTCCACTTTTTGTTTGTATGGACCGTTACAAATTTTTAGCAGTTTGAGTCAAGCAACTCTTATAATACACATTAATAACCTGTTAGTAAGAATACAATACTATTTGTATTACTTATTTATTATAACAATTAGTACAATATAACTCTTAACAACAACAAACATTACTATACATACATGTCAATTTGGAATAATATGTATGTAGATTAAATATTCGCAATGTCAATTATACAACAAATCATTGTCGGTGAAATGATCCTCTTGGTGAAATGACTGTCGGCGAAATGACTGTTGGTGAAATGACCTGTCGGTGAAATAATCTTGTCGGTGAAATGACTGTTGGCGAAATAACCTGTCAGTGAAATGACTGTCGGTGAAATGATTGTCTATGAAATGACTGTCGGTGAAATGATTGTCAGCGGAATGATTGTCGATGAAATGACCTGTCGGTGAAATGATTGTCAGCGGAATGATTGTCGATGAAATGACCTGTCAGTGAAATGATCCTGTCAGTGAAATGGTTGTCTGCAAAATATAATGTCTGCGAAGTGATTGTCAATGTTATATTATGGACCCGTTGCTCCTGCATCTCCAAAGAAGTCAGAGATAAATTTGATTCTAGAGCCTTTGCCAATGCTGTTGCTCCTGCATCTCCAATCTGATTATAGTAAAGATTCAAAGAAGTCAGAGATGAATTTGATTCTAGAGCCTTTGCCAATGCTGTTGCTCCTGCATCTCCAATCTGATTAGACCAAAGATTCAAAAAAGTCAGAGATGAATTTGATTCTAGAGCCTTTGCTAATGCTGCTGCTCCTGCACCTCCAATCTGATTCCGTTTAAATTCCAAAAAAGTCAGAGATGAATTTGATTCTAGAGCCTTTGCTAATGCTGCTGCTCCTACATCGTTAATCATATTATCAGAGAGTATCAAAGAATTAACAGAAGGGTTTGATTCTAAAGCAACTATCAGTGCTGTTGCTCCTGCACCTCTCAGCTTCTGAGAAAGATCCAATGTTCTACCTGGTAAATGGTGATTTCTATTATCAAATAACAGTTTTAATTGTTTGTGTATTTCTCTACATGATGGTCGTTCTTCAGGATTTTCACTCCAACATGCTGAATATAGCTGAACATACATTTCTGGTGTTTCTGGAAAAGGAGAATCTCGATAGCCTTTTTTTCTATACTCTGCCACACTTGCACAACCTTTACAAGGAATTTTCCCACTAGAAATTTCCCAGAGCAGCACTCCAAGACTGAAGATGTCAGACTTCTTTCCGCGTTTATATGATTGATCTTTAAATGATAAGGGATCTCTGTATACTGCAGTACCTTCACCTATAGATGAGGACATCATTTGTCCAGATAGACCAAAATCAGTGATTTTTGCAACACCAGATTTCATAAGAATATTTAAGGAAGACTGCAAATGATGTAACAATTATCAGTTTATAATCATTAATATAATGGTGAGCAACATAAAGTGTAATCACAGTTTACCAAGTCCTTGTGGATGATATCAAGTTCATGCATGTATCTCAAACCATTAGTAATTTCCAGACCGAGTTTGTATTTGTCTTTCCATTTTAAACTGCAAAAGTGTTGCGCCAAGTGGATACGCAAAGTTCTGCCATTAGCAAACTCAAAAATCATATGATAGCCATCATCTTCGTCTGTAGATTGGAAAATACATACGTCAGAATGTACAGAAATACATAGATAACAAATTACAGGAACATGAGTATACTTACAGACACCTAGAAATCGAATAATATTCGGGCGACCGCTCACTTTCTTGTGGTTTTTCAGCTATGTATATCCAATCGTATATAAATTATTAGTTATAAATCGATAACAATGAAACGGCGTCGATACTAAGCAAAATATATAATTAACAAACAACCTCTTTGACTAACTTTTTATACAATTTTTCCTCGCATTCACCCTCACACCGAACCAAAGTTTTTATTGCGACAGGCATTCCAGTGCGCTTCATTATCGCTTTAAATACTGCTCCATATGAACCAGCAGCGATAGGTATACGTCCCAATTTAATATCACCTTCCGAGTAGCATTGGATAAAACCCTCTTGAATGCTTTTGTCTATCCATTCCTTATATACGTTACTAGGGCCTCGCTGACCGATTACTTGAGATCGCGAAGATCGCTCGTCGATTTCCATCTGAGAAGATTTATCTGGAAACCCGGTTACTAATCGATCAAAGTTACTTTGCTGTAGAGACACTTGCTGAATGTTTGCTTGCGACTGAGACGGGCGGGGAATAATCTCTGTTGGTGAATAGACCTGTAATGTCATAATAGTATGCGAATGCGTGAGCTTGGTACAGTTATCTCACAGTAAACCGAACATACAAACCTGTGACTGAACATAATCCAAATGGCTCGATTGGACAATTCCATGTTGGTCCAATTGATGTTCAGATTGCATCGGCGTAAACAGTTCGTTTGGTGTTTGTACTTCAAGCTGTCTAGAATACGGATACTGCGACAACCACCGTTGTTGACGTTGTTGCCGATGCGTAAGCAGAGTAGATAGAGTGTCGTTCTGTTGCTGAATAGAACCTGTAATTAGTTGTTCATGCATAGACAGATTGGAACCGTCTGTATACACCGGCGTTTGTTGTTCGTTTGTCAATTGTGAAATAGAATACGTTGGCAGACCACCGAATGTAAACACATCAGTAGGTAATTGTGAAAGACTGAGCGATGGTTGGTCTTGTCGAGACTGTGGTCCTGCTTGCAATTCGTTTTGCGGGTTAGCCAGATAAAAGTCTTGATATAATAAATGTGACGGCTGATTTGAGCCATCAATGTATTCCAGCTGCATTGGTTGATAAGTCGTGGATGCGGCAGGATGACGGTGTTGTTGCTGCTGTTGTTGCACTAATTCCTCTTGTTGTTGATAGTTCCATAGCCAGGGTTGAAAAGGTTGTTGCGACATTGTAGGTTAACTACAAGAGACTTGTTACATTAAGTCGTACATATGTACTGTACCTATGTACATGAGCCAATAATTAGTCTTAATTTAAGGTTATACAATGTTAACTTAACACGGCAGAAATTGATGTGCATAAAATTATAGGAATCTGTGCACTTATAGAGAGTATCGCATATAGAAAATTCAATAGTGCGTGCATAGGAGATTTGTCAAACTCTGCTTTATTAATACGCTATTAAAGGCAAAGGAGCGCTTTATGTACATACGCTACTTAATTTAACAATGATGAAAGTGTACGTCAATTAAATAATACTAGCAATGCTAGAGACATGCTTCGCAGAGACTAATCATAAATTCTTAATGGAGAGAGTATTACCGTATGTTTATTAGTTGTATGCGTTGACTTGTAAGTAGGATACAAGTTATAATACCAAAGTATGCTGATAAGAGCAAATGATTCTTCTTGGCCTCGGATATAATATTGCAATACGTAATGTTTCACCCAGAGCAGACAAGTTTGCACGATAAGATACTTGTGCTAAACAAAATTCAGTTAATACAGTAATAATGTCAACTTCTACTCAATGTTTGTATATTATTTGTACAGGCACACGCTAATTATAAACAAGATGAAAGATAATCTCAACAGAACCCCGTTCCTTCATGGTGGGGTGGTGAAGTTACTGCCAATTTAGTTCATGCGTCTTCTTTAGGCTGCTCTCAATAAGAAATATTTGTAAGGGAGGCGGCGCCTAATTTAGAAATGCTACACCTTTAGCGTTCAATCGTAGGTGTAAACAAATAAAGAACGCAAAACTCCTAATTTAGAAATGCTACTAAAATTTGTAATCATGATGAAAATAAACTAAGCACATTCTCTTACATAGATTTCTAATCAATTACCACAATTACATTTCGAGACACACTTAATATTGATGTGACTTTGTCAAGGTATCAGTAAATAAATGTTTTCAAATAATTTTTTGGTACACGCATTTAACCTGAGGAATAAAAGTCGAGGAAGATTTTTACACTATTTATTGGTAACATTAACATTATAAGCAATTCATCGGATTTTCTTGTTTTCATAACAATTAACTGCCTTTCTTTTTGCATGCTCGTTTATAGTTAGCATATTAACGCGTTAGACTGAAGTCAACATAATGGCTTTTACATACTACTTGACAATAATTTATGATAACGACTAGTAAACATATTAAAGTACTAAAACATTAGCCTTAGGAAATTGTAATCGATATATTATACAGTTTTACCGACCCGGGTCACAAATACGTAGCAGTAATGTTCAAGCTTTGTTCTTTTTTAGCGACTTCAAGTGTATCGTCTCAGAGTCAACGAAGACAGAACAGGTTTAAATATGAAACACTGTCAGGAAGAGAGATAGCGGTGTTATATAATTGTATATTAAAACTTTATTTTCTCCAATGTGATTTTTTTGTTACCAATTCTCGGAAACCTTTTTGAGCTAACTTTAACTGGTTTAACTTGTGTAAGTGCCGTGCCGTTCAATGATGCGTGACTCAATTCATTTATTGTATAAGTTGAGGAGCAGTGTTGTGGTCTTTGCATAAGAGGTTGCCTATGTGGACTTCCGGTGACAGATGCAATAGCGGCAATATTTGTAAAATCGTTACATTAGGAAAAACAACACATTTATGTGAAAATTTTTTTGTACGAAAACATGGACGTCTATGGTTTGGGTTGGGTTGAATATGTATGATATGTTGAGAAAAAGGGTAGATGGGTTATTAGATTTGTCGGGAAGAATCTATTGAATTTTGAATGTGACGCATGCGCCTTTGATATCTCAGTCTGATTATGATTGCGAAATAGTGGATTGCGATAGTTTGATTTGACTGTGATGATACCAATTAGAAACTCGGTTCGTGACACATTGTGGCAAGCAGTTATTTCGATTGTTGTAAGGTATTCGAGAAGAGGATAAGATGTAATCTATTATATTTGATTGCACTTTATACAAGTTTATGTCATGTGTATTATTATTTAACATAAATAACTATTTACATATCATGTAAAAGTTTAATCATTAGTAAAATGTAGGATATTAATATACTGTGTATTTGTACAAAAATATTTACGTGATAGCGTGTGAGAATATTTTAGTTTGTTAGTTAGACGTATCTTGCGCTTACTACTCTTAAATAGAATATTAACTAAGTAGGGGATTTTTTTTTGAAATTCGCCCCCCTTGTAATTAAAAATTTGCTGACGATTACTAAAAAGGAAATACATGAAGGGTGAAGGTAGTTTGTGTTATTCATTTATTCAGTCAAGAACGTAGCAAGATATTATTATTATCGTCTATTTAACAACGGAAAAAGTTTCTTGTCAATGACATAGGAACCGAAAGATTTGAATTCAATCTACAACAGGATTTTGATGATTCATTTGATAACCATGTTTTCTGTAATATTCTATAAGGAGAATACTCTCTTTATCCTTGCTTATTTAGAAAACTCAATTGAGAGTAATAAGAACGCTCAAGGCATGCTAATAGAAAAAATATAAAGAAAATCCAGGAACCGAACTCGGAGAGGTTGTTGTATGTCAAATCGTAATTTATGTCAGACCGGAAATAGCATGATGCATGAATATATTTTTCGGTCTTGTCTATCACTATGTCAAGTTTTTGGCGCACACCAATAATGGTATTTACCTAACTATACAAGAGACACATTCATTGATGAGTCACGATTTCAAATGTCATGGTGACATCTATATTATTAATGCCTGATCTATTAGAATTGGTTTCTCGAATACAGCCATAAATCACTTTCTGTTAACTGAATTCTCTCTGCACCTCCTAAATTTTGCATTAGTATTAACCATGTATGACACTTTGTGTTTCGTCGATCTCAAACTAAGCCGTTATGTGTAAACGTACATGCTCAGTATTCATACAAACAGAAGTGTGGGATAATTAAATTCGGAAACGTTTCTAATCAATGTTCGAGTAAATAATTTCTTTGTAGAATACTGCAAGTATATAATTGTTGATTGTTTTCAGCAACTCCACCTTCTAATTTGGTATTGCATTATTCCAGCTAACTTTGCTAACTGAACTAGTGGACAGCAGCAGAGTTAATATTATTAATGTCGAAATATTGTTCCGACCGACTTGACACAATATACCCCAATAATACAGTAATATCGACCATAATTATTTGCTTGTGTAATCTATAATATAATTGGTTGGCCCCACGTGGTGAAGCAAAAAATTTACAACGTTTGATAGTTCTTAAGACTCTGGACCGAGACAACTTGAGTTCTGCACTTCGAAACTGAGATTGAGACAACTGAGTTCTGGGCTAATGACTGGGTTCTGAACTGAAACAGGTCCCGAAACACACAGACATAACAAGACCACGGGATGGTTTTCTTGACCAAGCGATAAGGGAACAGTTGCTAAAAGTCGACAACGGTACCTCCCTCTGAAAAACATCCCCTCGCCGAGCGTGCTCTGGGTCTAGACGCTCTCTTAAAAGACATAACCAGCTCAGCCAAACGTATCATATTAGGAGAAGATAAAATATTACTGTAACTGCTTCCAAGCATTCATGAAGCGGTATCGACAGAAAGGGGCGGTACCTCCCTCAGAAAAACATCCCTTCGCCGAGCGTGCTCCGGGTCTAGACGCTCTCTTAAAAGACATAACCAGCCCAGCCAAACGTATCATATTAGGAGAAGATGAAATATTACTGTAGCTGCTTCCAAACATTCATATTTCTGAATGAAGCGGTATCGACAGAAAAGGCCTTTCTGTTTATTGCGGTTTCCAAATTCTTGAAACACACAAATTGGTCACAACCTTTCGTGAAAAGAGGCGGAAATACTTTAAAAGCTTAACTTGGAAAGACAAATACAAGCTGGGCTTAGAAGTTACCAATGGACTAAAACATTTACATGGCCTTACCTTGATTATTATTCACAAGGATTTGGTACTTATTGCACATCTCGGACAATTACCGAGTCTCTCCGAAACAACAAACGTGTTTACTTGGTTACTCTACTTAGCAGAAGTCGAGAAATAAAGGTTACATCAGCGCAACGATTACAAGGCGATTACAACGATTACGTTACGAAACGATTAGACCGATCTGAACGATTATGATGTGGTTATGATGCGATTATGAAACGAACATATCCGCAGCAAACACATTTTATTAATAAATAACCGGTCCTCACTTCCAAGGAAAAACGGCGAAAACACACAAAAAAGACAAACCAACTCCATCCAGAACATACCACTCAGAACTTATTATCCATCCACAACACACACACCTTACAATACAAATGATTAGACACCAACTGTTCATCGTCGCCTTCATTTATTTTTGGGTAACGTGCGCCGTGCTCCTAAAAGGACCGGGAAATGATTGCATTCACCCTAGTAGTCTCAATTAATGTTGGCACGAAATGCGCTTACAACTAAACAGACATTATAAAAAACGCCAAAAACGTCTTGGGGAATAGTGTACATGCATCGTGAACAAAGTGAGATTGCATATTTCTCACTCTACTGTTTGCAACATCAAGGGGTGAGGGTGTATCGATGTTCCTTATGGTATGGGAAGAATAAAGTTAGATGTTTGTTGTTAATCGACTAAACACTAGCGATCGTTTCTCTAGAGTTCTCGAGTCTTTTGTCGAATAGAAAGTGGGAGGGTATCTAGATGATTTGGTTTCTGATGTGAGAGAAGGTTCTGGGGACGATTAGTTGTAATCTCAAGCTCTGGTATTCTGCAGAACAACTAACATTGATTGATACGAGAATGGAGATCGATTGCCATCTCGTGAACATATGTTTTTATTAATAAAGGAACTCAAAAAGTGTCTTTGTGGATTACGGTATTCTTTAATTATCGGCATCATCCTTAATCGTATTTGAGTTGATAGAAGGTAGCCGAAGTTTGAACTGTAAATCTTTCAGCTTCCAAATATGAATCGATATCCTGTTTAAT